CTGCATTGTGCCACCGTATTGGTGTATGATTTAACATTGCGATTTGTGTGTTGTGAATAAAATTCATACATTTCTATAAAACGTTCACTTTGTTCAACCTGCTCCTGCTGCGTTGTGTCACCTTATTGTTAGGTGATTCTACAACCGAGTTTGAAGGCTGTTCCTGCTGCATTGTGCCACCCTATTGTAACGTAATTTGAACTTCTGAGCTGTAAACTTCTTTCGTGGTAAGATTTTACATAAAGTAGATCTTTTGTTAAAATGTAATCATGTACACGTTCAGAGATTTTGTAGAATAAAGAATGAAACATACATAAGTGGCAAACTATTTCACTTTGAAATCGGGGAGCTATGGTATTAACCGATACTGTATATAAATACACAAAACAAACAAACATTTTATTTGTCACGTAGAAAGAATCGTTTCGTTGGTGATTTTTAGTCTACAGTTGTATACTAGTTGTTAACCCTCTGGAAGATATATCACAATCTAGCTCTAAGTGGGAACCCCAAAAATGGTTCATTACTTTAGCTTTTATTGATTGGATTATTTTATTATTTAACGGTGTGAAATTTCATAATACGACTTTTATGCTTACGACATGCAACAATACGACAGTATACAACACCTAGTGAATATGTTTTATCCTTCTAGAGGGTTAAATGAACTAATTATTATTTTTATCATTCCACTATTATTTTTTAATAGAATATGTCAAGAGTACCTCGCGCTTTGTTCCATACGACATTTCCAGGTGCAGGTGTAAGTCGTTTTCAAGTTCCTCAAGAAGAAATTAAAAGAAAAAAATGTGAGTGAGGCCGGGTGTGTTGAACTTAAACCCAATTCCAGAGTTTGCGAATTACATTTTGATAAATATGACTTCGATATGGAACCTGGTGCTAAACGCAAAAGGTTGCGAAAGGATGCCATCCCGATGAGGGTGGAATATTTATCCTCTTGGAAAGCACCAGTTCCCATAATCACTTCAAAACAGGATGCTTCAACACAAATCGAGTATGAAAAAAATGCATACATATAAACAAATATTAATGCCAACATATTTACGTTTTTATAGTATTGACCTCACTGTTACGATGCAACTTGAAAATTTAGATTTAAAAGCGCACAATACTAAAAGCGCAGGTGGCTGCGCAGCTGAAGGAAGCCAACGAGTTGAAAGCTTTCAGAAGTGGTATAAACTTGAATTTCACAGAAAATCAAGTACGTAAATTAAGAAACCCTGCTAAAAATATACATTGGGTATATGAAGATATTGCGAGGGCAATACCATTACATGCAGCAGGTCCTAGGGCATACAACCATTTGCTCCGTAAGGGTTTACCGTTGCCCTCGGCGTCCACTTTGTCGAGATGGCTTCCGCGACTGAAGTTTCACGACGGCATTTTAAAATTCGTTTTAAACGAAATGCACGCGGCAAGCACAAATATGGAGTTGGTCGACAGAGTGTGCCTCATTGTCTTCGACGAGATGGCAGTTGCCCCATCATTTGAGCACGACCCACTTACGGACACTGTGATGAAGCCTGCAAGATATGTGCAAATGGCTATAGCAAGAGGACTCAAGCAATCTTGGAAACAACCCGTTTTTTACGCTTTCGACTGTAAAATGACAAAAAGCATTCTGGAAGACCTGATTTCCCAGTTAGAAAATGCAGGCTATCCCGTCGTGGGCATCGTATCCGATATGGGAAGTGCCAACCGAGCTCTTTGGAGGGAATAGAGAGAATTAGAGGTGTCCACGGGTAATTATAGAATTAAGAGCAGTTAAATTTGCATTACTATAAGCAATTAAAACAATTAGGTGCTTTCATTAATTGTAATAATTAACAGTTATTTTTTTACTCTTATTTATACAGAACAGACATGGTTTTCGAGTCCAAGCGGTGACGGTGGCAGAGTTTTTGTCTTTGCAGACGCGCATCACCTTTTAGAATTACTGCGAAACCATTTCCTGGACAGCGGGTATGTTTTCCAGAACAAACAAATATGCGCAGGACCGATAGACCAAGTAATGAGATGTACGTCAATGTCCGATTTGTCCATCACCCATAAATTGAAGGAGCAGCACCTCACTGTCCGGCGCGAGGGTCGACAAAAAGTGAGACTTGCGGCACAACTGCTATCGCATAGCACTGCTAGTGCAATCAGACGTGTCTATGCAATGGGTTCGCAGCTGACAAATCCTCTCGAGACAGCAGACTTTATTGAAGTCATTGACAACTGGTTCGACCTTCTCAACAGCAAGCTGAGAACTCCGCAGTGCAATCCGGCAAGGAAACCATATGGGCTGGACTTGGTGCCGCGAAACGCCATTTTAGAGTCCATGAATTGGTTAGCATTGAATGCGAGGGCGCGGTTTCACTACACTCTTTTGCCTTGCCAAAAAGGTATTCTGATGACCAATGCATCCTTAAAAGGTTTGTTCCAGTATGTCCAAGAGAGGTATGGAATGAGGTTTATCCTCACTTACCGCCTCAACCAGGATGTAGTGGAGCACTTCTTTGCGCTACTCGCACAATTATAACGTTTTGTCTCTTATAGATTTATGTTCTTTGATATGTATGAAATGTATTCTCTGCAAAAGGTTTTCAGCCCCAAGGTGTGATTTACAACTCAGACAGGCTCTCTTTTAAGGTACTATTATCAAAGAACGTAGATAACAAGAAGGGACCACTCGTTATAATTGTAGCGAAAGTGCGCAACAGGGGCGTACCTTCTGTTTTGCCCTAGTGCGATTTTTGACTAGATGAAAAGAGAAGGGGCGTGCCCCCTTTCCCCACAATTATAACGAGTTGTCCCTTCTTTTTATCTACGTTCTTTGCTATTATGCCAAAAAAAACAATCGATTCAAAATTCATACAAAATTTGTTCAATTTGACTTTATAGGATGGTTCTTCTATGAGCAATGTCAAATTCAATCATACTTTGTTGAATACATTTTGTTCAGCCCCCCTTCTTTGGCAACACATAAAGGAAAATTCTACTTACTGGGGGTTATAATCCCTAAGTGCGGCCGAAGGCGGCCAACGCTAAAATACTATCATATTACTATTAATAATAATAATAATAATAATAGATTGGCGCTTATTACACATACATATGTTAGTGTTTGGCCGAGCTTCTCCTCCGACTTGTGGCGTGCGCCTTGATGTTGTCACACAAGGCGGAGGGACCTACAGTTTAGTTTTACGCCAACTCCGAACTGCGATTGTATTTTTATGAGAAGATGTTTTTCATGGCAGAAAAACACTCGGAGGTTTGCCATTGCCTGCCGAGGGACGACCTCATAAATATTTACTATTACTATACATTTTTTACCTGTCGCGTTTTTTAATATAACAATACTTTTTGTGATTTTTTTTTTAATAACTTTTTTTAGTTAACTTTTTGTATATAAAATATCCTAATAACCACCTTGAAATGCTCCTATTTCAAGAGCTCTGAGTTAAGGGACACCCCTCCTCCCAATCCGCCGAAACGATGGGCCAATAACTAAACATTTCCCAAAATTTCATGAAGAAAGATATTTCTTGGGGTACTGTTTAGTAAGTGGCCCACCTATTTCGGGGTATTGCGTCCAAAGGGGTGACCCGATCCAAAAAAAAATTGCACACACTTGTAGCCAAGGGTCTACCCATTATTTTAACATCCACTATTCTAATTTTTGGTCACTAATTTATTTACAAATTGGTTTTGAAATATGCCCTTTTTTGTAAAATTTGGAAATTAGCGTACATTTATCACTCCTATTCTCCTTAAAGCAGCCACTTCACCAATTCATTTTTGTATTCCCCTTCACTTTACACTTTACTCGATTAGTTATAACTTGATTTACGACTTTAATATTAACCAATTAATCACAATTCATTAAATAAAAACACCTTCAAAATCATGCGTCTGACTTTGGTTGCACATGCAAATGAAATGGCGGAGTTCAGCTGTCAAACTCCGAAATATACAAAAGAATGAGAGACAAAAGAAGATAGGATATAACCCAGTAAGCATTAAAAATATACAAAGGTGTTCTCTGCAAAAGGTGTTCAGCTCCTTTTCTTCGCAAAACAGAAAGGAGAATTCTACTGCCTGAGGGTTATAATCCCTAAGTGCGGCCGAAGGCCGCCTACGCAGAAAGGTGTTCTCTGCAAAAGGTGTTCAGCCCCCTTTCTTTGGCAACACAGAAGAGAATTCTACGTAGTGAGGGTCATAATCCCAAAGTGCGGCCGAAGGCCGCCTACGCAGAAAGGTGTTCTCTGCAAAAGGTCTTCAGCCCCCTTTCTTTGGCAACACAGAAGAGAATTCTACGTAGTGAGGGTTATAATCCCTAAGTGCGGCCGAAGGCCGCCTACGCAAAAAGAAGTTCTGCGCTAAAATACTATCAAATTACTATTACTACAACATTTCTATCCGTCGCTTTTTTCCTAATTTCACAATATTTTTAGTAAATTTTTTTTTTTTCAAATCGCCTGATAACCAACTTGGGATAATTTCTTTTATTTAAAAATCCCACGGTTTTCGTTAGTTGGGTTATATTCCACTTCAAACTGCCAGTTTGCCTCGGAAAATGCCGTTTTTACCCCATTTTCAAACGGTTCCCTAGGGGTCTGTGGGAGGTCCCCAAGGGGGGGTGGGGCTTTTCGTAAAGTGGCGACTGTCCCCTTTCGAATGAGCGGGGTTTAGGGGGCCACGCTCCCTCCCCCTCCGCCCCCCACCTGAAAAACGATGGGCCAATAACTAAACATTTCCCATTTCTTGTTTTTCTATTAATAAATAAATGAGGTTGACGTGCCTTAAATAGTAAACGTTATTTTGGAGAATGCCATTGAAAATAAAGGAACTTTTTTCAGGAATTTAAGGGAATTAGCCTAAAATAAGTTGGCATCCCTGATATTGACACTTGAAACAAAAACAAAAAATGGTTTTTCTTACGTGTGAATTTGACGTATGTGCATTTTTATCACCAATTTATCACAATCATAATATTCAGGTAAAATTAAGCAAAAATAGTACCAAACTTTATTATAGGAAACGACATCACCAAAAAAGCATTGGAATTGCATTAATTCCATCCGTAATGTTCCTCCGTTTACCAAATCACTGGCACCAAAAAATAGAAGGAAATCAGCGTCAAAAGAAGTCATCAAAGCAAACATAAAAACATACGTCGGATTCTTGGATAGCCACGCCGGATTAAACGTTAACCCCCCTATCTATAAGAAATAATGAAAATTTGCTTCAAACCATACATCGTACTGCTGCTTCCCCCGCTACTTATTTTCCACCTAGGAACGGGCGAGTTGCAAGGTCCGCTCTCAACGTCTAAAGATGTTGCTGCTCAAGAAACTTCACTCAAAGGGCAATCTACGCAGCCGGAAACGGGTGCAGAGTCTGGGGGAAATGCAGCTTCCGTAACAGAGAGCAACACTTCAGACAATGAACGCAAGTCCGACAAATATGTTTCTGAAAAGACACCTTCGGAGTCACCGGTGGTTCAGGCACCTGGTACTACAGTAGTACCCATGTCAGCTTTTGAAGTCGAATTTGGACAACGTTCCAAAATTTTGCAACAAGCGTTATTCGAACGTCTCTGGAATGAAAAACTTGTTCGTGAAAAGTTAAAGGAACAAATCGAAGCTATTGAAGCACGTCGAGAAGCGCCAGATGTTGTAGATCCAACGCCAAAACAGATAGAAGGTAGGCCCACTAAAGTAAGTTTTAAAAAATGTATAAGGATAAGTAAATAATTTAATTTCCAGCTCAAACCTTCTACGAAAAAGCCATGGATATGCTCTCAAAACCACGCAGTGATAAAGTTTTGGCGTACAAATTTATAATCCGTGCAGCGGAAATGAATCACCTTAAAGCACGTGCCGAGTTGGCCTGGGCTCATTTGCTTGGTAATTATGGTCATTATGTTAAGCCAAATTTCGAGTTGGCTGCTGCTGAATTTGATGAACTTGCGAAAGAAGGTGTGCCAGAGGCCAATATGGTAAATAAAACCCAATATTTTGTATTTAAACCTTTTTTATTTTGTTATGTACCTACTATTTAAAGTTTTGTTCAGAAGTTGCATGACTTTAAACGCATATTTCATATTTATTAGGGTCTTGCTTTCCTGTACTCTGTAGGCGTCGGTGGTAAAAATGTTAGTCAACCATTGACATTAATCCACTTAACACTCGCCGGATTAGGTGAGCATACTTTTGCTCAAATGGCTCTGGGATATCGTTATTTGTATGGCATCAATGTGCCAAATAACTGCGAAAAGGCTCTCATGTATTACAAAAAAGTTGCAAAAAAAGTAGCAGCCAAGGTAACATTTTCTAACGGCCCTATCGTTCATCGTGTGCGTTTGCTGGATGAATCTGAAAATCCGGGCAGTCAAGAAACGGAAATCGTCGACTACTATCAGTTGTTAGCTGACAAGGGTGACGTGCAATCGCAAGTTGGACTCGGCCAGCTCTACTACCAAGGTGGAAAAGCTATACAACAAGATCACCAGAAAGCTTTGGAGTATTTTACTCAAGCAGCAAATGCAGGCAACGCAATAGGATTTGCCTTTTTGGGTAAATTATATCTAGAAGGAAGTGAATTTATCAAAGCTGATAACGAAACTGCATTTAAAGTATGTTGTGTCTTATTTCATTTCCAAAGAAAATTTAATTGCTTGTGTTTCGTAGCATTTTAAAAAAGCAGCTGAATTAGGCGATCCAGTGGGACAAAGTGGTTTGGGTTTAATGTACCTCAAAGGGCTCGGTGTGCCGAAAGATTCGCTTAAAGCCTTAAACTACTTCACGCAAGCGGCAGATCAAGGTTGGGTTGATGGGCAGCTGCAATTAGGCAACATGTACTTCAGTAAGTCTCCCATAATCAAACTAAGTTCCCAAATTCACAAAAGATTAACCTTCTTAGCGGGAAACGGCGTAAAAACGGATTATAAATTAGCGCTTAAATATTTCAACTTGGCTTCACAATCGGGCCACGTATTGGCTTACTATAATTTGGGTATTATGCACACATATGGCATGGGCATGCTACGTTCCTGTCCAGCAGCTGTGGAATTCTTTAAGAATGTTGCGGAACGAGGTCGATGGAGTACGAATATGATGCATGCCTATAGCGATTACAAGAACCATCGTTTTAACGAAGCATATATGCAATACGCTTTATTGGCCGAGTTAGGCTACGAAGTAGCTCAGAGCAACTCAGCTTTTCTTTTGGACCGTGGCGACGTAAGCATTTTCCACGATCGACATGAGGAACTTATACGCGCCTTTTACTACTGGAAAAGGGCGGCGGGGCAAGGTTACTCAGCTGCACAAGTAAAATTGGGCGATTACTACTATTATGGCTGGGGGACGAATGTAGATTTTGAAACGGCTGCTTCACTATATAGGTGAGTGCCAAAATTACAAAAAAAAAAAATGTTTACAAATAGCGCAAACAATATGAAATTCTTGAACCTTTAAAAAATGACTAAAATGTTACCTACATAATGCAAATTTTCTACAATTTATCTGCCATTTAGAAAAGCATCGGAGCAGCAATATAATGCACAAGCTATGTTTAATCTTGGCTACATGCACGAACAAGGTCTTGGCATGAAAAAAGATTGGCACCTAGCCAAGCGTCTCTATGACCTTGCTGCGGAAACAAATGCCGATGCGAAGGTGCCGGTAGCTATAGCACTACTCAAACTGCAAATGCTTTCGAAAATTGAAGCAATTAAACAGGTGCGCATTCTGGATAAAAGTACATTCGGATTTATTTATAACTTAAAAATATATCTTTTAGTCACCTTACAAGTTTATTTTCTACATGGATGAAAATATTGCCGCTAATTGGGATTTATATATGATTACTATTTTAACTCTTTTACTGGGATTTATTATGTATACAAGACGTCCATATCAACAGCAACAACCGGCCGAACAACAGCATCAAGAACAGGCGCAACCTGAAACGGACCAAGTGGATCAACAACCACTGCAACAACCAGAATAACGATTTTTTCTCTATGAACGGATGTGGGCTTGTTGAAATAAGCATACAAAATGTGCTCCACTAAATAGTAATACTTTAATAGGCATAATTAGTTTATATGCATGTATATATAACAGTTAATAATTTAATATTGTTTATTACAATACATTACCATTAACAAAGCCACCACCAAATCCACTATAAACCGTTGCTCTGTGGCATGCAGCTTTGACTACCTACATATTTGTCGTTTGCATAGAGTGAGTGAACATGTTTTTTAAATTTAAAAAGTAAAGACAAATCTACCTTACTAATAGAAATTTCAGTATCGATTTTGAGATTTTTTTCGCAAACGAGAATAATCCTTCATTCTACTTCAAAGTTGCTTGAATAAATTATTTTATACCATATTATTCTTTTTTTTTTACTTTTAGGATATCTCTGTTTGCTGTGAAATTAACTTCATAACTGACTTGAAATCTACTCTGACTGAGTACAATCTGTTTTATTTTATAGATTAGAAAGTTTGCCCATGTAGAATGAAAAATTAAACAACCACCTAAAATGCATTATTGCGGGCTGAATGCGATTTAAATTTTGTTTCTATCGTTCGTTTGTTTTATGAATTAGCTTTCAGACTTCTAAAATCTTTGTAGTAAAAGTTTTTATATTATTGCCTGATTTTAAATATGTACATATGTATCATGTATGTGTATCAGGATTCTATAATTATTATTATATTATTATAAGTATAATAATGATTGTTTGTATTTTTCATTTTCGGAATGCTGCCTTCCTTTCACAATTTATCTAGCTTCAAGAACCTTGAAAAGGCAACCCACCAGAAAATTTTTGTTGCCGGCAATAAGAAAACTTGTCGTCCTCCGCAATAAATTTATTGCCGGCATTATCGCCGTCGTATCGATTTTGCTCTAAAACGTCCGCCGAAGTCAACTCGCCTGGGCGAGTCGTTTTCTTATTACCTGAGTGAATCGTTTTATTATTGCTACAGGGAGTTTTTGAAAACGTATTCCTCAAATGACATAAAACATGACATGTTGCCTATTTCTCATGTTTTTCATGATGGGGATATTCGTATTATATTATATATGTATGAATGTGTTTGTATTTTTTAGACTATTTAAAAACAACAACAAAAATGCAAACAATTTCTTGCGAGTCGATTAAAGATAGCAAGAATCGCAGAACCTGCCTGATAAGCTTTAGAAATAGCATGGACTTTACATAAGTATATGTATATAAATTCATTAAATATTTTGGGAATATTTTACGGGTGTACTCATGATTGTAAGGTTTATTAGAAATCTGAATATGTTCAAGTTGTAACCTCCTAGTCACTTAACTTTGTCCGACGAGGGTCTGTAAACCACCGCCAGTTTTGTACTTTTCGAGTCTATTGCAAGAAATTGCTCGAGCCCTGTGTCACTCTGGGAAAGCTGGCAGATAGAAACAACAAACAATTTTTCCCCAATTTTTCACGTTAACTAGTCACCTTTTAGTTACTACATAGCATCTTAACTAAGTTTGAGTTTTTAAGTCTTTTAGAAAATTCCTTAAAGCATATCATGTTTCATTCGTTTTTTTTTTTGTCATTCAGAGTCTTTTAGAAGCGGAGTTGCCTGCTGCTGATATCTATTACAGTATTTACATATGGCGATTCGTTGAATCAAAAGTTGGCTCCCATCCAGCTACATTAGAAGCGATTAACTAAAACGCCGTTCAAACCAGGCGATTGTTGCTTTCAACTAAAAATTTCCTGTAAAATCGCTTCATGTAAACAACGTATAAAAAGTTCCTATTCCGGTTATTAATTAAGAACACTTCTTAATGTATTTTCGTGTTTATGTTAGTTTTATTTATGTATGCAATTCTACAAGAGTACTTGAAAACGATTCGAGCTAAAATATTTGTATCTCAAATGCGTCGTTTTCATTTTATTACAATTAATATTAGCAAGCTAACTAAAAACTCTATAGTAAGAGAAAACTGCAATAGTTTTTTTTTGTGTGCTCAAGCATAATAATTAAGATTGGCTTTCTTCTTTGCTTGTACTTCCATTATAGCATCCATAAAATCTTCATGTGTAACACAGGTGGCGTTTCGCCGCAGAGCAATCATACCAGCTTCTACGCACACAGCTTTGCATTGTGCGCCATTGAAATCATCGGTAGAACGAGACAATTCTTCAAAGTTAACATCATTGCTAACATTCATTTTGCGTGAATGGATCTGCATAATTCGTGCGCGTGCTTCCTCGTTAGGGTGTGGAAATTCAATTTTACGATCAAGCCGCCCTGAACGCAATAATGCAGGATCCAGAATATCTACTCGATTTGTAGCTGCAATCACTTTAATATCAGCTGTGGAACTGAAACCATCCAACTGATTTAACAATTCTAACATAGTACGTTGGACCTCACGATCGCCGGCCTTTTCCGAATCAAAACGTTTTGTACCAATAGCATCCAACTCATCGATAAAAATAATGGCTGGTGCCTTCTCTTTGGCTAAAGCAAAAGCGTCGCGTACTAATTTTGCTCCATCACCTATAAACATTTGTACGAGCTGTGGACCAGCCAACTTCAAAAAAGTAGATTTTGTCTGTGCAGCACACGCACGCGCCAAAAGTGTTTTACCAGTACCAGGTGGACCATACAAGAGAACGCCTGTCGGTATATACAATTAAATTATTTTTTATTAACAACTTTTGAAGTTTTGTATTACCTTTTGGTGGATGAATTCCCAATGTCTTAAATTTTTCCTTGTGAGTCATTGGTAATACCACCGCTTCAATCAACTCTTGTATCTGTTTATCCAAACCACCAATATCCGAGTACTGCTCAGTGGGTCGTTCATCTACTTCCATAGCCTTGACACGAGCATCATACTCGGCAGGCAATGTTTCCAAAATCAGATATGAATCTTTGTTTACGCCCACTAAATCTCCGGGTTTAAGTTTCTCTGCATCAACCAACCCAATGACAGGCAAAAAATAAGCCTGACGTGTTGAAGTCTTAATGACGGCACATTTGCCTTTACGTTGGTTGTCCAAAACCAAAACTGCTCCGTCGTCTTCTTCTTCTTGAGGATCCACATCCAAAAGTTCAATAACATTTGACACCAAATACGGCAGTGTTTTGTTAACCTTATTAGTGAATAAAGGTTGATTTTAATCCTGAACATATAAAATCAAATGATTATTTACCTTTATCTTTTCCGTATTGTCTTTGATCTTTTCGTTTTGGGCCTGAATTTCGTGAGTTATACGCATAACCTCACTCTTCATGATTTTAATTTCATTGTCCATCAGACGCGTTCTGCTGACAATTTCATCGGTGGACATACGGAGTACCTCCTCGCCTAAGGTTTCCTCACCATCATCCCAAATGGATTTGTCCTCAAGTGTTGTTGCCATTTTTAAGCAAAATGTATTATTACTATCGGAATTTTTTTAGTAATCTAGCTAACAATTTAACGTAGTTTCTATTTTTCGATGACTTGTAAATTTTTATTTTGTATCTGTTTTGACATTTGTCATTGACAGCTCTTTGTTTTGGGATCAAGATGAGGTAAAGAGCGAAATATACAACACAAGCGGATTGACAAGCCAAGCGTTATACCTTTGCAACAAGCATTTGTAGCTGTGTTTCGTACACAATGATCGGGAACTGGATAAAAATTTTGCATTCAAATGCAATAACGAAGTGATCGTGGTAGATGTTGTTGTAGCAGCATACAAGTTCCCCAAGGGTTTTTGGGGAGTGTTGCTGGAGTGACAGTCCTTGGCCAGATATAAATCTGGGTCGTTTCGGTTAAGTAGACCCGACTGATGGATATCTGGTTCTGGTTCAGTTTATAGGAGTGTTTGCTATGCAAAAAATGTGTACAAGTTGGTACCAATTATTACCAAATCGGGGAAGCAGTTTATACAATACAAAAGAATATGAATAGATAAAGATGTTGATGACACAAGGAGCTCATACCAACGGTAAATGTGGTTTTTGTAGGATTGCTACAACCATCATAAAAGCATAGTAAGGTAAAACCATTGCGTCGGCCATGATTTTTTTTTTAAGGAATTTTTTTTTAAAAGGAATTGTAAAAAGTTGGTTGTTGTTGTTTGAGATTGAAAATGAGAATGTGTGTGTGAGTTTATGTGTAAAATTTTAAAATTAAATTGCTTGCAAACGTCAAGAATTTGAAAAATTCCTCAGCGGTTCTACCTTCCTATTTTTTTATCATGGCTACAACCTGTAGTTAATGGATCAAGGCGAATTTATATAAGGTGGTGTTGATGGCGAATTTACGGTACTTCCTAATGTCAAAATGATGTATTTGCTGTAAACAAGGCGAATCCATTTTACAACAAACACATCATTTTGACATTTGAAAGTACCGCGGCGAAAATATAAATTCGTCATCAACACCACCTTGTATAAATTCGCCTTGTATTGAATCATGCATTTGTATCAAGAACGATAGAATAGAAGGCGAGTTTATACAAGGTGGTGTTACTGGCGAATTTAGATTACAACAACGACAACCATATGTATTTTGTATGGAGGGTGTTATGTCAAATCTCAATTCGCTCCAAACATATCATTTTGACGTAAGGTCCTCCACGGCGAAAAACTCAGCTGTCGCCTCAACACTACCTTGTTAAATACACCCTGCCATTTTCCATGTAAAGCAATATTTCATTCAAGGTGTATTAAACAAGGTGGTGATGGGGCGACAGCTGAGTTTTTCGCCGTGGAGGCCATTACTTCAAAATGATGTGTTGTTGTAACTCATACCAATGACAGTATGGACATCAGCGTATAATTTGTTAGTGTAATTTTTTACTTATATACGGCCAACACCACCTTGTGAAATACGCCTTGATTTCATTGGTTTGCCAAATGATGTTTAAACTAAAAATTAGCCATATTAGGCGTAGTTAAAAATGCCCTTTTTTATAGAAGCTTAATAAAAACAAAACAAATTTCAAGGGAAACTTTTATTTTTTAATTTAAAGTAAAACTTTCTAAAAAGCCAAATACACCACAATCGAGGTGCGGTGTATGAAGGTTTGACAAGTCCTGTTGATGTTTGATGAAATCCCTTGCGCTGTGTATGTAAAAACGCCTCATTCGAAACGAAAATGGAAGAAAACCAACCTTTTGTACATGGTGAGCCGGAAGATATGTAACTAAAATTCTCTATTGAACGAGTTATCTTTGTATGGTATATGGCGAAATGAAAAAAATAGGTTTGAAAAGTCGCTGGTGTGGTCTATTTTGCCCTTAAGTTGTTGTATTAAAATACCCCAGAAATATTTATTTGTTTATTTGAGTCAGCAGCTTGTCAACCCTACTGTATTCAACAGATTACATCTAATAGTGACGGAAGTTTTCAAAATCCTTCAATTTTCGATAACTCGGTTTTATTTAATTATAATAAAATATATAACAAAATAAATGAATAATTCTTAAAATAAATAAATAGACGTTTTTATAACAGTAATTCAGAAAATGGGATTCTGCATGTTTTCCATAGGCAACTTGACTTTCTCTTCATTACCAAAGCACTGAAAATTATAGGTTATTTTTCATTGAGCTCATGATGTCAAAAAGCCGTGCGGATATGCCATCCCTAACGTCTGCATACATATGTACATATATAAAAAATATGCATAAAATATTAAATAAAGTGTTGAAAGAACGTTATTTTGGTTATGTAAATTATTAAATATTTGCATACGCAATAATAGAATCTTGTGACGCAGAGATACGAAAAGCGAAAGCTTTGTGTGAGACTTTTTTGTTAACCGCAGCTTCACTTAATACGGCATGGACATGAGTGTAAGTAAAGTACATACTACCATTGGAACAGTTGCCTCAATATAATGCTTTGACTAAACTAATTATTCTCATTTGTAAAACTGGTTTTCAAGTTGACGTTGTGCTTGGAGAGTGGCGAAAGTTATACTCTCTTGCATACAGCAGAGGCGCTTTGTAAATAGTCGCTAATTGTTTATTATACGATGTAGTTTACTTACACTTTGAGGTGAAAAACTTTCATATTTTTGAAAACTTCTTTCCAAATAGGCTGCAATGCTTGCGCGCGTGTCTTTCTATCCAACATTGCTTTACAATGTTTTAATGGAAAAGGCCACTTCAAGAAATTGGTATGATCGCATTGATGACAATGTCATTTTGGGTGCATTGCCTTTCCGTTCGCAGGCAAACGAAGTAAGTAAACTTTCATTACACTAAACGCTATCCTCTATTCTCTATTATTTTGCTAGTTGATGACCAAAGAAAATATGAAAGCTGTCATATCCATGAACGAAGACTACGAACTCGCCATGTTCTCTAATGATGCACCTAAATGGAAATTATTAGGAATTGAATTTCTCCAACTGCCCACAACAGATATTTTTGAATCGCCAAATCAAGATAAACTTTATAATGGAGTAGAATTCATAAATAAATTTATACCTAAGGATAAGCGCATAAAAGGTTTGAGCACCTCGTCCGAATCAGAAAATAATGGAACTGTGTATGTGCACTGCAAGGCGGGGCGAACGCGCAGCGCTACACTTGTTGGTTGTTATTTAATGATGGTGAGTCAAAAATCATTTGTATGCAAAGCGAGAATTAATAGGATGGTAAATATTCAGATGTAGTTAGTTTTCTTTCGTTTGCACCAATAGAATATGCGGCCGATTTTTTTCACCTAATAGTAAGGTATTGTTTTTTTTCTTAAAAATGCATGTAAAAGGGTCTGTTATCATGTACAAACGGGTAAACTCTTTCTACAAATCGTTAGCTCAGAGTGAAAAGTTAGACAGCTGCGGGGTTTTTTTTTGTGCTAAAATAATTTTCTTCAATTATTTTACCAATCTTTGAATATGTGTGTAAATACAGAGCTTTGGGGGGAGATTACGATAACCGTGGTAACAAATTTTGACTTTGCCATTGGATTATCTTATGAACTACATAACGAATTAAAAAAACGAATGTGTCAAAATAAAGATAATTAATTTCTTTTTTCAGATAATGTATCTAATTTATATTATTTTTCATATTTTAAAGCCCAAAATATTAAAAAACTAAAAACATTTCTTAATTATTTTTATAAAATTACCTTTTTTGAAAAAATTACGTGATTAATGCTAAAGAAATTTACATTACTTAGAAAGTACAAGTTATTACCTTTAATGAGTGTTATAATCCCTAAGCGCGGCCGAAGTCCGCCTACGCAGAAAGGTGTTCTCTGCGCAATAGGTGTTCAGCCTATTTTCTTTCGCTACACAGAAAAGAGAATTTTACTTAGTGAGGGTTATAGTCCCTAAGTGCGGCCGAAGGCCGCCTACGCAAAAAGGTGTTCTCTGCAAAAGAAATACGGACTGAAGACATGATGTATATCAAATGAAAGCTTGTTTTGTATCCTACTGGATAAAGAAATATTTGATTATGTTTAAAAAGGCAATTTTTAAATAATCATGTGATTGTTTAAATTTTTTTGTAACTTTTTTTTAGTTAAATTGAATTTTCGCTAAAACTTTATAAGGTGTATATAACATTTGTATATCGTATTAAAGCATTCATATTTCCTATTAAATGACATAAAAAATTTTGAAATCCGTGCTTTTGTTTTCAAGATAATTGGATTTAAAAAATATGAATTTGAAATTTGACAGTTGGTAACTTCTCGTTTTTGTAAAAAAAAATATACCGTTCCAAAATAAATCATACCATTATACTTGCTTCAAAAACCTCTATCGACGTCCTTGTTCAAAATTTGTCGCCCCGGTTATCGTAATCGTACCAACTTTGGTGTATTCAAAGCAAAGCAGAACTCCGTACGAATCGGTAGAATTGGACATTAATGAAGCTTTCGTTTTCTTTTGGACTCACCGTGCCATTTTTAGAATATAATTTGCATTTCATTGAATAAAATGCATTTTAATTTTCCTTGATACGGTTAGGAAATAATTTCTAATATGATGCTTTTACAACTATATATTGCACAATTTTTTAAATTCTCAACTTTCTAATTTGTATTTGCATACAAATAATACATAACAATACAAAAGTGCTATTCTCAACTTGTAATTTATCTCAATTTAACAAGCAATATAAATAATTTATAAATTTCTTTTGTTAGAAAAATGGTTGGACACCGGAACAAGCTGTGAACCACATGCGTACCTGTCGGCCACATGTATTATTACATACAAAGCAATGGGATGCCCTTAGAACATTCTACAAAAAGAACGTTGAAAATACGTGACACTGAAACCTCTATGCATATTTAATTCAAATGATATTTAAATTCACGATATATTTCTATGTACATATTCGGTAATAAAGTAACCAAATATCAGTTGTTATATACCTTGGACATTGTTGTCTAAATATTTTTGTTCAGTTTATCGCATCTTTAGAAATACAGCTTAAACTAGAAGCAGGGGTTAAAGCTTAAATATTAAGCACACCCAGCTCTCAATGATAGCTATTTGCCCTTGTTTACATAATGCCCCAGCCTTTGGTATACTTAGTACATTTTAAAGTTACACCAGGTACGATATATATATATATAATAAAACGAGATTCGTTAACTTAAAATTGTGGGAATTTTTCGAAAAATAAAAACATTGGACAGATATTAACATTCACAAACAACAAACTATTTCACATAAAACAGGTTTTAATGATTCAATCCATTGCCCTTTTCACAATTAATTGAATTCAGTGAAATTCATAATGCTTTATTTTCTTTTTCTCTTCTATAGGAATTCTTTTCATTCGTCGGTGCAGGAATCTTCCACATCCTGGCATTATTTTGACATACATTAGTTAAAAGTTAAATCAAAAATTACTTATTACTTGCTTCTTTAGCAATTGGTTCAGATCCAGCTCCCCTAATCTTCCACAACTGTTTAACAGAATTGGCAATACCGACATCATTTTGAATAATGTAGAAAAGACCACCAAGAGTAGCTATAGACAACACAATCAGAGCTCCATGAGCAACCTTTGGCAACAATGGTCCAACTACTTGCGGCCGTGCGTAATCTGTGATTATAGCTTCCACGCCCCTTTTGATAAAAAGTTATTACGTATGATTTTTAATTAATGACGATATATATATATAATATAATAATTATATGTATCCTACCAATGAGAATGAAGAACCACGGAGATTGCTAGAAGAGCATCAAGTGTCTGCGAGGGATAAATAAAGGCTCCGGGCACAACACCCAGAAGAGCGAGGGAGATCAAACGTTCCGCAGTCCATAATGGCGTGTGATTACCCTTGGCTGCAGCCATCTTGGCGGCACTTAGGGAAAAGCTCCTTTGTAAAGTCTGATGGAAGAATGTGGTTTTATAATACTCAATCAATTAAGCATTAGATGCACTATCTTACCTGTGCATTCTTGAAGAATGTCAACGTTTTTAAGCTTCCAGCAGAGAAAGCACTCTTTGTGGTCAACGTCTTAATGGGCAATGACAGATGGGCAGTGGTCTTTGCAAGTCCAATGGCTTCATGGTTACAAAAGAATTTATACGATTATATAATACAAATTTTTGTATTTAAAGTTTACCATTCAATTTGCCAGCATTGCGCAGCATAACAGATAAAGCCATTTTCGAATTAACACTAGGATACAATTTAAAAATGTTTATTGACTGAGTTTGGCTATGTACGTTAACGCAAATCGACCAACTCCTTTCTTGTTCCTCGGGGTATCGGATTTTGTTTTTTTATAATTTTCACAGACAATTGATAAAAAACAGCCGTCAAATGTCAAAAAAACACTGTCGCGCTGCCACTGTTGCCGACTCGGTGCTTTTCGCACTAACCCAAAACGCGGAAAATTTTTGAGTTTGGTGCTTGGTGCGTTTTTTGGTGCTGTTTTTTAGCAACTTTACAAAAATGAAAACAAAATCATGGCACAATGACAATCTTAAGCGAGCATATGTTTTCCCACTATGCGTTCAAATAAGGCACGTTAAACAGGTAATTCAAATTTCGAAATCATAAGAGACCGCAGTGTAGATTTAAAATACCACATAGCTCATGAAACTTCAGTTTTTTTTTTTGCTTTCGTTTGACAGGAATTGTAGAAAAAATTATGCGAAACGAATTTTTCTTAAATCTATGCAAAGCGGCAACACCAGACACAGTTGCAAATTAGAAAATAATAACAAGAATGTTATCGTCGCCTGGACGAAAATATTTGAATGTATAGAGAACAGAAAAAACCGACCGTCCAGCAAGAAACATTGATTTTTATTAATTTAAATCGGCATCTCTACAAAATAATTTGTATGCGTATAAAATCCATTAATGAGTATTAAATAAAAATTTGGTGCTTTTTTCGAGAAAAAACGCGATTTTCTTAGGTGTTAGTGCTTTTTCAAACTGAAAACTTGGCAACACTGCGCGCTGCCAATTGCAGTATTTCGGTTATCGATAATCTTAGAAATGCTGCCACTTGTAATAAAATTTAAAAAATGTTGGCAAACGAGGGCTTTATTACAATGAACGTAAATCTATAACTGGCCTTCTCCACAGGATAAAATTTTAATTCGCACTTGATAGTAGTTGGATGAATAAGGAAAATGAATAAGCAACAAGAGTTTACGGGATGTACATAGCTCAGTCGTTAACGCTTCTGACTTTGAACATCGAATTCGCAGGTTCGATCCCTGCTGAAGTCTAGAAAAAAGAAGTCTGATGAGGAGATGTGGTGATCTCCGAAATAGTGCTATAACTTCTACCGCTTAGACTTTGTTGCTTTTTCAATTTTTCCTAATAAAACAATCGTGGTACAAAGCTCAATAAAAATATTAAAAATTAATTCGCTTTGTTTACAACAAACACATCATTTTGACATTAGGGAGTACCGCGGTGAAATTCTAAATTCGCCAGTAACACCACCTTCAAAGGTAGAGTTGTAAAATCAGCTGATTTCTTCGCCTTACATGTATTTTGTTTTTGCTTTTACTGATTTGTCAGCACACCCATCCAAAGCAAAAACAAAATACATGTAAACTTTGGAGTGAATTGAGATGTGACATAACACCCGCAATACAAAATACAAGGCGAATTTATATAAGGTGGTTTTACTAACTCAGCTGATTTTGTGTATGTGTTTCGCCGCACAGCTTCTGATATCAAATTGAAAAATTTTGTTTGAATTTCTACACACACTCTTACAGATTTTGACAGTTTTTGCCGCCAAAGCAAAAACAAAATACATGTAAATTTTTGTTTTTGTACTCCTGCTATCACCTTATATTAATTCGCCTTGAACTCACTTATGTATGTGATTTTAGAAGTTTTGACTTAAGATCAAAATATCATGGGCCAGTTATGCAAAAAAAATTATTTTTTTTTTTGTTTTTTGTTAAACTAAAATCGGAAGCAACTTGACGAAGTACTGCGTTTAGAAGTTTAGAGAAAAAATGTCTTAACACGAGATAAGTTATTTTTGCAAATTTCCTCAGATATTTCTGCGGACTTGCCACTGTTCATTTGGCTGCCTGTGATTTATTCAATTTTACATTTTAGAATTTTTGTGGCCCTCGCGAAGAAGTTGCTCTTGTGGCCGATGCGGGCAGACGTGTGACAATTGAATTAATGAAACAAGTAATTTTTAGAAAAAAAAAACCGACTTAAAAAAAATATATATATATCTATATATTTCATGATCCAATGATCGGATCTAAACACTAGACACTACCTTTCCGTTGCAAAAAGAATTATTGAAATCGGTTGACCTGGTGCAAAGTTATGCGGTAACATACATAAAAAAAAAAAAAAAAAAATATTCCGACGAACTGATAACCTCCTCCTTTTTTTGGAAGTCGGTTAATGAATAAGTTTGACCTTGAAGAGTATGCGCATGCGTTTATGAATGAAATTATTTTTGTTGTATTTTAGTCGCTTATGCGTTTTTACATATGTACATATGTATGTACGTACGCATATTTGCATGAATGTAGACATTTTTGGAGGGAAATCGCATGAGTATATTTGTACAAATTTATTGATTATAAATGTACATTTGGTTGTTATAAAAAGGGTAATTTCATCCATAAATTACAACTTTAAAACTTCCATACTAAAGGGGAAGCCTTAAAGACTACGAGTTTAAGGAAATCCCTTAATTAACTTTAAAAATAGCGAACCTTAATTATGTACACAAAGTTAGCTTTAATCAAAAATTAAAAAATTAAAAAAAAATTTAAATTTAATTTTATTTAAATATTTTACATTTAAATATTTAATATTGCTTTAGCTATATATTTTTAATGTCAACATTTTGAATTTGAAAATATTATTTATGTAAAGTTTTAAAATTAACTATTGCATTACAGATATTTATGAAATGTCAACTTAAAGCTAACAAATACGATTTTTAGTTTACAATGGACGGTATGTATTCATCTGATATGTATGTATGTACACTTCAGTAATTTTTTCTTAAGAGGTAATAAGACACATTCGATTTTATATTTTCGTAGATGATACGCACTATTAAGAGATTCTTTTTTAAACTAATTTCGTTGAATTGAGAAATTTGTAAACTTTCCTCAAACCCAAAATATTTAAATTTGATATGAGAACCAAAATAGAATGCAAGCTATAAGGTTTATAAAAGAAAAACTCGCATATGATATTAAAGTACTAGCTGATGCCTTATAAAAGTCCCAATCGAATATGATGTTGGACGCATCTGAATCTTTCCATGGGTATGCGCCATCGTCAAAGTACATAGGGCAGTCGTCACGTTCTCGCTCGTATTCTATGGCATCAATGGCAACTGCTGCACCCTCGGTGTGATTCCACGAGGTAACGTCTTGATTTAGTTTACAAAAGGCGCCAACCGCTGCAAAATATTAAATATATTATCTACAGTAGGCATATGTATGGTAAAGTATACATACCTTGTGACATTAACACGCGATTTAAGTCAGCGCGCTGATATACCCAGCATCGGTACTTAGAGAGCGGATCCAGGTCATCATAAGTAATAAGATAGGATTTAAGATTCTCTTTCCAAAAACCAATGCATTTCATGCGATAATCCGGATCACCTAAAATGTAAAATTTTAATCAGAAATAGTTGTATTTAAAACTTATGTAGTGAGAACAACATACTATATATATCCACAGGCCTTCCCAAATGATCCACTGACAGACAGTAATTTTCATCAATGGCCAGTTCTTTTTGATCCGTATCACATACCGACATATCTGATATATTTTGCTTGCAATGTATATTCGGCCGAGGACTTAGCGTTACACCTCCAAGAATTCTCGTTTTAAAAGGATGCTCTCCATGCTGTGTAAAGTTGAATTTTCCTGCCACAGGGCAACGTACTGGCAACGGATTCTTTGCCAAAAACAAGTCATATTTCCACGCTTCGGCATTTTTGAATTGCACCCAGGAGCATACTGTACTGAAATCGTCCTTAATAACAGCTAAACCCTTGCGATAGCGTATGATGTTATGATGCCGTGGCTGAAAATCGAAACATACATAATCTTTTTGGCAACCGTCAACCGTAAGACGTGCCATCATTATTCGATTATCACGCCGCTCACGGCAAACATATATAGTACGTCGGTAGCGGGCTCGATCTGGGTAGTAAGTTTCATTGATGTGAGTTTCACTAATCGATACATCAGCATCAATATTTGCTGTGTTTACCCATTCACCCGAAAAATTTTGCGGAAGTGTGCAACCCGGTTCAACGTATTCTGCTTTTACAGGTGTAAGCTTTAGACGTTCTGGTGAATTTTCTGGCGTTTTTAATGTATTACATTCGGCCGTAATAGAAACACCAATGTACAAATCGTCGTCCCGATTCTTAAGGAAGCATCGATACTTTTCATCTTTGCGCGATTCCTTGGTATTGGCGACCGCAAAGTAATGGTTTTTGCCAACAAACCAATCTCCTAAGCAACTATACTCTACTGTACCGGTGAAGGTGCCTTCCATACCCTCACACTGCTGATAGGTGACGTTAAACTTTTGGTTTTGTATCAAGAACTGCGTACCAGCAGTTTGACAAGATTGAATGCGAGCATCAGGCTTATTACAAACACCAGTAAACCGGAACCGATTCTTAATAATAAAAATATTAATATCTATGGATCCGCGTATGCTTGTAGCCCAAAATTACCTGGTATGTGAAGTGCCACACGCCTTCTAATGAAGAACGACAATTGAGAGGCACAAAATTTTCATTGAATAAAGTCACTAGTTGCTGGTCGTCCCTAATTCCTTTACAAACATTTTCCACGCTTGGCTCTGATCCCGCGAGTATAGAAATGCAAGGTCCTAAAAAGCGAATAACTAACGCTAGAAAAATATGTATTACGTACTAGAATTTGTACGTACCTTCGACTTTCTCAAACACATTAAGCGTCCTTATGACCGTTCGGACGCAGTGATAACAATTTGCTGAGCGCTCTTTAAATATAAAGTGATACTCATCACCGTGTCCAGACATCGTTATACAAACACCTCTGCGTGACATCGAGGTCGCATCTATGACTGTTAGTGTGGGTGTGCCAGTTTCCCAGGAGAACCAACTTCCCTGAAGAATTTTGGGTATAATACATCTGTTTTGTTTTTGTTCCAACTGATTATACTGGGCCGAAACTACAAATGCAAAAATTATTAAATACAATTAAAACATAGTTTCAGTCAGCGTTCTGCTATGCGAGGCACGATGAGACAGCTTCTAATGCAAGCAGGGTGTGGCTAATCGCCTTTTGCTTACCTATGCTCACGGCGCCGAGAAGGTAAAATAGTTTCACCACACACATTATGAGCTTAGCATTTGTTTTCTAATTTGTACTTAAATATCAATTTTAAACTTTACAAGGAATGCAAATAGATTTAAAACTATTAACCACAGTGCACTGTGCTATAAACTACAAAATCTAAGCGATGGAATGTGCATATAGAATAATGCAAAACAAAAGCATTATTTAGGAATTGCAAAGTCGACTTCGACATTCGACAGAAATCGACTTTTTACTCCTGGACTTCGAATTTTAGTGATCGACTTTCAGTTTATGGAAGTCGACTAAAGTCGACTTTTCACTTTCGGCTCGACCCTTTTAAATTTACAGCCCTATTCTAATAAAACCTCACAACTGAGTTGTGAGCAAAACTT